AAAAAAAAAAAAACTAAAAGTTAGCCCTCGATAGCTTGCAACTCCACACCCACTGCGTCGCCAACCGCAGGAGAGATCACCCACACGGACAAAAATTTGAGACAAAACACCGAACTTGAAACTGCAGAAAGCCTGGGCCATCATTGTGTTTTCCAGTTTACACTTAGAAAATGTATCAAGAATTATACTAATAAATAATCTTAAATATTCGTCTCCTCTGATAATTTTGATCACCGACAATCGTTTTTCTCGTGCCCCAAATCAAGTATTGATTGGCACAACATATTTGCCCCAAAAATTTAATAACGGTCTTTATTTTGTAAGTGTCAGTATTTAATATGTTCCTTGTGAATTGTGAATTGGTGAAAGGTTGGGAGGAAAGATGGACAACTTTTAGAAAATACTATAAATTTGAGAAATATTTATATACTTCTTCATATTTATTTTATGACGAATGGAGTACTATTTCTATATTAAATCATCTCTGATTAACATATTTTCCATTTCAGTTTTATTTACACCCTTAATTTTTTTATTTTTTTTATTTATTCTTACCCTTTAAATAATTAATTACTATTATCTACAATTAAAATAAATAAGTCAAATGACAGGATGTTCAACAGCGACCATTGCCACATTTGTTCACCAATTTATTTTTCTCCCATAATTTCCCTGATCTCATTAGATGAACTAACTGCGACAGCTTTGTAATAATTTAGTACTTAAGGATACATTAATATAATGAATTACACACACATTCATATAATACACACATTATTTTTCCACACCATATTATTAGAATATTCACTTGTGAGTTGTCTCACATCGTTTATAAAGGAAAAAGAATAATGCTCACATACTCACGTGGACACATGTTAATATGTCCACCGCTTATGTGGCATGCATACATTGGTTATATTAATATGTTCAAAAAATACATCATCAATGTGTGCATGCCACATAAGCGGCGGACATATTAACATGTGCCCACCGTGGGTAGGTGAGTATTACTCATAAGAAAATATGTCTAATTTATAAGTCTAATGACTACTCTTCCTTTCACAAATTAGTTTTGAGACGAAACCTCACTTAGGCTTCATTTGAGTTTTTCCTGTCTTGGTGCTGATTAAGAGCTGGCATGAGGCTTTGTAACTGAGATTAGGGATATCTAGTTACAAGTACCCCTAAGACTCCACTAATAAAGGAGAAAAATGAGAAAGAAAAGCTCCTTTTAATTTATGGTCTCCATCTTTTGAAAGATATAATTAAAGTATCACCATCTTTATTTAGCTCTCTTTTTGGTTGTGCCCTTCCCAAAAGTAAAAGGAAATTAATAATGACTTGAGGATCATTTGTGGAAGCACTAATATCATATCACAATATACTTCTCTATGTTAATGTAATGAATAATGATAGAAACCCAAATTCTTAAGATCATATTATTTGAATAAAAATATATTTTTTTTCCAAACGATAGATTTTATTAACAAACACGAAGGCTAGAGCCCAGTTATACAGCCGAATACAACAGTCACACGGCCGAATACAAACAGCCACACGACCGAGCCACACGGCCGAATACACAGCTACACAGCTGAATCTAGCAGGGAGAACTACAACAAAATGTAGCCTAGAAATAACCTGCCTACCACAACGCACACGCTAAAAAACGCTCCCAACAGGAGAATAAAGCTCCCAACAGGAGAATACACGAAACGCACTCCCAACGGGAGAGAAAAAACAAAAACACAACCTACACACAAACAAACACCTAGAACATAACTCTAAAACCAAAAAACGCAACAACACCACCCTTCCCAAGCCGACAACCACATCGAGCTAACCGACGGTCACGCCAACGAACATCCATCCACACGGACAGAGCTACGATCCAAGAGCCTGAGCTAGAAACTGCCGAACTAACGCCTAATTGGCCCAAACACCACCGAACCCAGCCCACATCCAGATAGATAATCGAGACCCAAACCCGGAGTCACACACCACCAGCCACCCACAACAGACTAAACAAGACCAGGCCTAGATCCTGAATCCCAGCCCTCTGCCTAACGTCGTCGGTGATCACCCCCGCCCAACACCAGAGACGAGAGTGACACGGAAGCTGGAAACGGAGCCCTCCGCCCCAGATCCCTCACAATGGGAGACCTGAAACTGAAGACCCTCACCACCAACACCACAACAAACCAGCAAAATCAAGCCCAGCCCCTGGAATCCCGACCTCAGCCCAATCTCGCCGTCAATCACCCCCGGCCAACACCAGAGACGGAGGGGACTCAGCA